ACAGAACACAGAGGTGGATTTTATCTACAGAGAGTTACCTTAGATGTAATTATGCTTACTGTTTGGTCCTGGCACAGGATTCTAAATCCTTTTTCTGGTCCTGGCCCAGGATTCTAAATCCTTTTTCTGTCACAGACTGCTTTGGCAGTGTGATGAAACCTTGTGGAGCTTCTTTTTGGAATAATGTTCTCCTATGTACAAAATAAAATACATAAAATTATAAAGGAAAGAAATTATATTGAAATAGTTATCAGAGTATTGTTAGGTATGTTGTATAGCACTGTAAATAAGGTTTGTCAGAACACAGCTATCCGTACTCATTTATAGACGTGCTGTCCGTGGCTACCTTTGTGCTACAACAAGCAGAGTTGAGTGGTTGCAACAGAGATTTTGAGACCTTGAAAACCTAAACAATTTATTCTCTGGCCCTTTACCAAAGAACTTTGCCAACTCCCATTCTAGATGAAGACAGGAGCAGTTTTATCAATAAATTGATGGCAAATTCTACCTAAATCTATGCAATCTAAAGTGGGGGACAGTAAATATTTACTGTCAGTAGGTCTCATAGTAGTTCTAAGTATAACAGTTTAAAAATGGTTATGACTCAACAATATTTCAAGATACTTATAACAAGTATAATGTGATATGAAAATATTTATGATTTCTATTGATGACAAAGTATTTTTCTACTAAGCCTGCTATTACTGTTGTGACTCATGTTTGCAATGGAAGGAAACAGTGATTTTGTCAGAGGTTAGTGAAAACAAGGATAAAATATTTTTGTTCGAAATTCAGACTTCATGAATTATATTTTAGACCCTGCCCTATGTCTCTAAAAGATGTAAGTTCTGTAATCTTCTCTCAGAGGAACACACTCTAAACACAAAGTTTCCTCACTGAATCTTCTGGTAGAATAGTGATAGAATAAAATTATTCAACTGTGAGAACATTGTATAAGCATTCTTTGTCATTTTGAGCGTCATCTGTTTTCTAAAATGCCCTACTGCGTAGCCAGGTCCAAGTATAAACTTTATTTTGCACTAATGGCTAATGCAGGGTCTTGCATAGAGTAAGTGCCTGCTTACTATTTGTTCAATAAGGATTTCTCCGAAGAAATTGGAGGAGATGAAGTTCAAAGCTAAGGTCTTAGATGAAGCAATTTTCTTTTTTTGCTTTTATTTTTTAATTGCTTTAACTTTTTACGAACTCTTGTGTCAAGGGCTGACTTTCAGTAGATTGCAGCGAAGGGAGCTGCTCTGCTACAGACGAAACCCTGACCCAGATCGTCTAGGAATGATTTAGCACCAGGTTCCCCACAAATTTGAATTGTGTGATGGGGAAGAGGGCATCCCCCTTTCCAGCCGCACCCTGTTTCCCAGGACGAGGGGCTGTCCACACCAGACCCTGTTCCAACATGCTGCAGTATTGTTTCCTGGGCTGATGAAGCAATTTTCCAGGCCTCATGTATGGAGGAGTAGCATTGAGCTCTAGTTTAGTCTACTGGGCAGGTTATGTTGTAAAATTCACCTTTACATTTAGAAGGTCTCAAATTATGTATTTGTATTCTTTTTTTAGGAAATATTTATTTGTTTATTTGAAAGGCACAGTTACAGAGAGAGGGGGAGAAACAGAGGTCTTCCATCTGCTGGTTCACTCCCCAAATGGCTGCAAAGGTGAGAGCTGGGCCGTCTGAATCCAGGAGACAGGAGCTTCTCCGGGTCTCCCACGTGGGCAGGGGCCCAAGCACTTGGGCCATCCTCTGCTGCTTTCCCAGGCACATTAGCAGGGAGCTAGATTGGAAGTAGAGCAGCTTGGACTCAAACTAGAGCCCATGTGGGATGCTGGCATCATAGGTGGCAGCTTTACCTGCTACGCCACAATGCTGGCCCCAGTATTTGTTTATTGTATGCTGTTATGGGCTATTTACCTAAACTGCAGTAATCCTGTTTTAGAAAGATGAGGTGTAGTTTCTTGAAATAATCCTGTTCCTAGTACTGTCCCCCACTTTAGATTGCATAGATTTAGGTAGAATTTGCCATCAATTTATTGATAAAACTGCTCCTGTCTTCATCTAGAATGGGAGTTGGCAAAGTTCTTTGGTAAAGGGCCAGAGAGTAAATTTTTTAGGTTTTCAAGGTCTCAAAATCTCTGTTGCAACCACTCAGCTCTGCTTGTTGTAGCACAAAGGTAGCCACGGACAGCACATCTATAAATGAGTATGGATAGCTGTGTTCTGACAAAACTTGAATTAAAAAACAGGCCTGGGCCATCTTTTGCCTGACTGTTGTACTTTGCTAACTCCTGATCTAGGAGATTTGCTGTTTCTTGAATTTCTCAGTCTTCTGCATTTTGAGTTACTCTTATCCTCCCTCAAGCTTCAAAGGACTTTAACTTTGCACAAGGGATTATGTCACTGCACTGTTATCTGTTGACAAACCGGAATGTACAGCAGATGACAGGATTAATGAATGTCAAGACTATTAGATGCACCACCTGGAAAATGGAGCTTTTGAGTAGCACCTGGGGCCGGCGGTGTGATGTAGAAGGTTAAGCCTCCACCTGCATTTCATATGGGCAGCGCCAGCATCCCATATGGGCGCTGGTTCAAGTCCTGGATGCTCTGCTTCTGACCCAGCTCCCTGCTAATGCTCCTGGGAAAGAACAGAAGATGGGCCCCTATACCCATGTGGGAGACCCAGAAGAAGCTCCTGCCTCCTGGCTTTGGCCTGGCCCAGCCCCAGCTATTGAGGCCATTTGGGAAGTGAACCAGTGGATGGAAGATCAATTCTCTTTCTCCCTCTCCCTCTCCTTCTCCCTGTCCCTCTGTCTCCCTCTCTCTCTTTGTCCTCTTCCCTCCTCTGCCACTGACTCTCCTTCTCTGTAACTCTGACTTTCAAATAAATAAATAAGTTTTAAAAAATGTAGCAAGCACTTTATACTGAGCATAGAGTTTTACTGGGGGGTGAGGAGTGGATTATGTAGGCCCAGGGATGGGGAAAGCAGGAACAGAATTCAAAGCAAAAATTCATGTCTCCTCTTTAGACAGATAGTTCTCTATAGGTAATCAGTCAAGTCTAAATTCGAAATTTGGAAGAGTGTACGTGATTGCAGCTTGCTACTACCTAGATTGTTGAATGGCTTGGGAAGCATAGTCTACCTCCTCTTTTGCCTTGTTAGATCTTGCTTGTTAGATCTGTCAGCAATAAGGAAGTAGAATAGAGGAGACTGGGAAGGAGTTCCTAAAACTGTACTTGTAGGAGAAAAACTTTTCATCTTTAGGCCCCAAACATATGCATGCCACACCTAGATTCTATCTCCTTGAGGACATTCATATTAGGAAAATGTTCGACTGGATCGATCTTTGTATCTCCTCATAGTCACCCCTCCCCACTCCAAAAACACATTTCCCACTTCTGTAGCATTTGATGAATCCAAGCAGGCATCTGTTGGAACTTTGAAGAACAAGGTAAGCAGTGTGTCCTAGGAGGTGATTCAGCAGAAATACAGCCAGATTTTGTGAATCTGAGTAAAAATTCCGTCACAGATACTACATTCTGCATTTGGAGAGCACTTTGGAGATAATTACTAATACTCTCTGTAGGCTGGGTGGACAATTATGTCCATAGTTAGAGCCTGTGCTTGAATGGAGAACTTCAGTGACTAGGATGGGGTGATTTATTTAGGGCCTGAATAGGCAACAGTGTTGGAAAGATCAGGCCTTGCAAATGCTGCATTCTGACTGTCAGCCTCCTTCATTTCTCTTTTGTTGTAGCTCCTTTGGCAAACTTTTCTGGAGGGTAAATAACTAAGGAAACTGGAAATTTTGGCCCAGTCCAGTAGGGCTCATAAGGGAGGTTCTGTATTCTATCTGAACTGCTTTTCACTCTGACTCATCCCTGCTTAATTATGTGGGTGCTGTGGCTAGAAGCCAGTATCCACATTAGGCATTTGGCAATCTGCTGCCCTATTTTGACCTCCTACTGTTATTGACTCAGGGGAAATGCTATCGTTTTCCAGCTCCAGTGCCCACTGAACAAACATGTATTTCAGCAGCCTGTGTGTGTGTGTGTGTGTGTGTATTTTCTCTCCTGTCTTGAGTGTAGATATTTAAAGCTACTTTTTTTTTCCAGAACCTGTACCTTTACTAGAATGGTGTTGATTGATTTTAAAGGTACAGTTATCACAAGTGGAGAGTATGCGAGGTATTATTCCTCATTGTTGGAAATATTCAAATGGCTACAGAGGGGCCAGTGCCGTGGTGCAGTAGGTTAATCCTCCACCTGCCGCGCCAGCATCCCATATGGGCACTGGTTCTAGTCCCGGCTGCTCCTCTTCCCGTCCAGCTCTCTGCTATGTCCTGGGAAAGCAGAAGAAGATGGCCCAAGTGCCTGAGCCCTTGCACCCGCATGGGAGTCTGGGAGAAAGCACCTGGCTCCTGGCTTTGGATTGGCACAGCTACGGCCATTGCAGCCATTTGGGGAGTGAACCAATGGAGGGAAGACCTTTCTCTCTGTCTCTCCCTTTCACTGTCTGTAACTCTACCTCTCAAATAAATAAATAAAATCTTTAAAATAAATAAATAAAAATTAAAATAAAAAACACATAGCTACAGAGCAGTTGTGAATGTTGTAAAGGTGGTGTGGTTTCAGTATAAATTAAAAAGCCATCATAACATTAGGATGTACTTACTATTCTTAGTGTGCCCCTATCCTCCCAAATACCTTTTATTTGTGTGTTTTCAGTAGACAAAGTTATCCACTGGAATATTAAGGACACTAGAGGTTAATGTTTTCTTGTTACTTCAAGTATTAATGATTATATTATTCTATATGATTTGGTGGTACGTAAGTTAGTAAATGTGAGGGATTAAGGCATGGTATGAGAGCACCAGTAAAAAAAGAAAACCACAAGAGACCTATAAAGCCACTGTTTAAGCATTAGCCTAAGTTCTACAGGAGAGGATTGAGAATTAATCTCTTGTAATTTCTAAATTCTTTTAGGATTATTGTTATGGAATATCTGTGACCAGTGTGTTTTCCATCTCCTGAGAAAGTGGATAAGGTATGAAGTGTTTTATACTAAAATCCAAAAAGTACTAGATATATTTGTTCTAAATCTAAAGAATTTTAAAACTTTAGCTTAAAGTATAATATAAAACACGAAGGCGTCTTTGGGAAATAGAGGGACTCTATGTAAGCAGGTAAGGAGTGGTATGAATAGAAATAACGCAAGCCTGCAAAAAGACTCAACATGATGTGAGCTTTGTTGTGCCAACTTTGATAGACTTGAATATTAAATACTTACCCCTTTCCAGTAAAACTAAACAGTAATGTTTATGGTGTGTTTCAAACTGTCAAAGCAGTTTTGTATACATACTGCATTGATTGAGCTTGTCTTCGGGTGCTTACTGTGTACTAGGGCTTGTTGCTGGCTACTGCTTTTAGGAGTTAATAGTTTTTATAGTGCCATGTGGTAAAAATCCCATCTTCACTAGTATAAGCCAAAGGAGAATGTGTTAATTGGCATCATGAAACAGTTCTGGCTCTGGGTTCTCTGCTTTCTTTGTGTTGACTATTTCCAAAAAGGCTCCCCTCCTGGTTACTGGTTAGTCACTAGATGGTCACAGAATAGTTCTTGGAGCCATATCTCCACATTCAAATACTCAAAGTGATACTCTATCTATTAGAATCTTGGCTTCACTTAGGTCACATATTACTGCCTCACCATCACTGCCCTGTCCACAGTCTGTGGCCAGGGAAGAGTGATGATGTGATTGGTTTAGCTTGGGCATATGTGATCTGATGCTAGGGCCGAGGGTGAAATGACACAGACGAGAGCCTCAGATGAAGAGGGGCTCTTCTCAAAGCAGGGGAATTGAATGGTGAAAGGGTAAATAACAAATACCTAGTATGTCAGGGAGTTTATAGTGTAATTTCTCATTTGCTCCTTACCATGACCTAGAAAGTAAGTAAATTTAATTAGAAACTTCCTTGGGACCAAGTGCTTGGGCCTCAGCACCCACATGGGAGACTTGGAAGAAACTCCAGGCTCTTGGCTTTGGCCTGGTACAGCCCTGGTGGATGTGGTCATTTGGGGAATGAACCACTGGATGGAATGTCTCTGTCTCTCCCTGTTTCTCTGTAACTCTGCCTTTAAAGTAAATAATAATTCTGAAAGAAAGAGAGAAAAAAAGAGAAAAAGTGAGAAAAGAAAGAGAAAAAAGAAAAGAAAGAAAGAGAGAAAAGAAAAGAAGAGAAAGAAGGGAAAGAAGAGGAAACTTCCTTAACCGCATGAAGAAACTCCTAACACCAAGAGTCTTACCTTAATCTAGCAAGATCTGGATTAAATCCCTGTACCTTAGGCCGGCGCCGTGGCTCAATAGGCTAATCCTCCGCGTTGCGGCGCCGGCACACCGGGTTCTAGTCCCGGTCTCTAGTCCCGGTCGGGGCACTGGATTCTGTCCCGGTTGCCCCTCTTCCAGGCCAGCTCTCTGCTGTGGCCCGGGAAGGCAGTGGAGGATGGCCCAAGTGCTTGGGCCCTGCACCCCATGGGACACCAGGAGAAGCACCTGGCTTCCGCCGTCGGATCACCGCGGTGCGCCTGCCGCAGCGCGCCAGCTGTGGCGGTCATTGGAGGGTGCACCAACGGCAAAGGAAGACCTTTCTCTCTGTCTCTCTCACTGTGCACTCTGCCTGTCAAAAAAAATTAATTAATTAAAAAAATAAATAAATAAATAAATCCCTGTACCTTAAATCTCAGTACCCAGATTTCTGGTAGACTGTCATCTCTACTCTTAATCTCTGCCCCAAACCAAAATAAGCCCCATGTAGTTCTTGGATAGTCTGCTGGTGATAAGCTTAGTGAGAGGGAGCCTTGTCTTTATGAAAGGTAAAATTAAATTCCTCCCTGATGGGGCTGGTGCTGTGGTGTAGCAGGTAAAGCTGCCGCCTGCAGTGCCAGCATCCCATATGGGCGCTGGTTCTAGTCCCAGCTGGTCCACTTCCAATCCAGCTCTCTACTATGGCCTGGGAAAGCAGTGGAAGATGGCCCAGGTCCTTGGGCCCCTGTACCCACATGGGAGACCTGGAAGAAGCGCCTGGCACCTGGTTTTGGATCAGCGCAGCTCCAGCTGTTGTGGCCAATTAGGGAGTGAACCAGCAGATGGAAGACCTCCCTCTCTCTCTCTCTCTCTCTATGACTCCAACTTTCAAATAAATAAATAAATCTTAAAAAAAAAAATCCCTGCCTGGCACAGTGTGCCGTGGCCAGAATACAATAAGCAATTGTGACTAAATTCATTGATGACGGTTTTATTCACTAGGCAATGTAGCATTGTGCTTGAGAACAGAACCCAGAGTCAGAATGCATGGGTTCAAATCCTGTTTTTACATCTCTGCTAGGTGTGCGACCTCAGTAAAGTCATTTAACTTAGTTGTGCTTTAATTTCCTTATTGTACGAATAATATTAATATCTGCCTCATAAGATTGTTGTTAGGATCAAATTATTTAATATATGTAAGACTTCAAACTTCCTGGCACACAGAAGTACTCTGTGTTAGCTGTAATTATTATCATCACTATTATCATTATAATCTTTGGGACTGCAGTGGAGAAGTGTGGATTAAATGATAGCATCATGAAATGGGTTTACATCTTATTGAACACCCTAATCATTCTATTTTCTAAAGATTAACCTCAGAAATATTGGTGATATTTTGATTGCGTTCAGCTTTTTTTTTTTTTTTAAGATGTATTTATTTATTTGAAAGTCAGAGTTACACAGAGAGAGAAGAAGAGGCAGAGAGAGAGAGAGAGAAAGAGAGAGAGAGGTCTTCCATTCGCTGGTTTACTCCCCAGTTGGTTACAATGGCCGGAGCTGCGCTGATCTGAAGCCAGGATCTACTTCTGGATCTCCCACGTGGGTGCAGGGGCCCAAGGACCTGGGCCATCTTCCACTGCTTTCCCAGGCCATAGCAGAGACCTAGATGGGAAGTGGAGCAGCCGGACTCAAACCAGTGCCCATATGGGATGCTGGCACTGCAGGCGGCAGCTTTACCCGCTACACCACAGTGCTGGCCCCTTGCTTTTAGCTTTGAAACATATTATCTATTCTCTTCCTTGTTTATTTGTCATAATTTTATCTAGAGCAAAAATGTTGAGAGAGAACATTTTTTACAGTGGTTCAGAGATGCCGGTGCCGCAGGTAGTGGCTTAACCAGTTATGCCACAATGCTGGCTACAGGAATTCTTTTTTTAATTATTGAAACATTTACTCATTTCTAGTCTCCTTTACTTTACTTGTTATTTATGATTTCCCAAAGGTTCAGCGCTGACTCAGGCTCTATCAGTAGGTTCTTTCAACAGATCATTTCCTAAAATTTTGTACCTGCTCATTCATTTTCTAGTTTATTTTTAAAATATATTTTTATTTTTAGTTGATATGTAGTAGTTGTACATATTTATGGGATGCAGTATGACATTTTAATACACATATACAGTGTTAATGAGGGTAATCAGCATATTTATCACCTCACACATTTATTATTTCTTTCTTTGGGGAACACTTAAAGTGCTATCTACTAGCTATTTTGAAATATTCAATTAATTGTCAACCATAGTTATCTTACTGTGCTATAGAGCACGTTAAATCACTCCTCCTTTCTAACTGCCCCTGTATCCATTAATCATCCTCTTTCCATCGCTCCCTCCCTCCTCTACACCCTTCCTGGATCCTAAACACCACTATTTTCTACTTCCTTGAGATCAGTTTTTTTTTTTAATTTATTTTTATTTTTTATTATTATTATTTTTTTTGACAGGCAGAGTGGACAGTGAGAGAGAGAGACAGAGAGAAAGGTCTTCCTTTTTGCCGTTGGTTCACCCTCCAATGGCTGCCGCGGCCAGCGTGCTGCGGCCGGCGCACCATGCTGGAGATCAACTTTTTCACTTCCATATATAAGTGAGAACATTATAGTATTTGTCTTTCTATGCCTGACTTATTTCACTTAATGTAACAGCCTCCAGTTCCATCCATGTTGCTATAAATGACAGAATTTTGTTTTTTATGGCCAGCTGATATCCATTCTGCATATATATATATCACATTTTCTTTGTCCATTCATCTGTTGATAGACAACCTATGTTGCTCATATCATGTATATTCTGAACAATATGCTAGTATACATTGTTCTTCAACATACTGATTTCAATTTCTATGGATATATACCCAGTAATGATATTATTGGGTTATATGGCAATTCTATTTCTAGTTTTTTGAGGAACTTCCATACTGTTTTCCATAAGAGTTATACTAATTTATATTCCCACCATCAGTGTATAAGAGTTTACTTGTCTCCACATACTCACCAGCATTTGTTATCTTTTTGATAATAGCCAATTTAACTGGGGTGAGATGATATCTTGTTTTGATTTCATTTCCCTGATAATGAGGCTGAACATGTTTTTTCTTTTTTTAAAAAAACTTATTTATTTATTTGAAAGACACAGTTACAGAAAGGCAGAGACAGGGAGAGAAAGAGGTCTTCTATCTGCTGGTTCACTTCCCAAATGGCCGCAACGGCCAGAGTTGGGACAATCTGAAGTCAGGAGCCAAGAGCTTCTTCCAGGTCTCCCATGCAGGTGCAAGAGCCCAAGTACATGAGCCATCTTCTGCTGCTTCCCAGGCCATAGAAAAGAGCTGGATCAGAAGTGGAGCATCCAAGTCATGAACCAGCGCCCATGTGGGATGCTGGCTCTGCAGGCAGCAGTTTTACCCACTACACCACAGCCCTGGCCCCTGAACATGTTTTCATATACTTGTTGGTCATTTGTATTCTCTCTTTTGAGAAATGTATTTAGGTCGCTTACTCATTTTTAAATGGATGGTGATGATTTTGCTATTGAATTTGAGTTCCTTATATATTCTAGATGTTAATCCCTTGTTAGATAAGTAGTTTGCAAGTATTTTCTCCCATTCTGTAGGTTGTTCACTTTGTTGTTTATTCTTTTTACTGTGTAAGCTTTTTAGTTTGATGTATTCCATTTTGTCAGTTTTTGTTTCTGTT